GGATCCCGGGACCCTGGCAGTGGCGGGCTGCACAGGCTCCCTGGAAGGGAGGTGTGGATAGTGACCTGCGCTCACACACAGGCTTCTTGGTGGCGGCAGCAGCAGCCTTAGCATCTCATGCCCGTCCCTGGGGTCCGTGCTGTTAGCCGCGGGGCGCGCCCGTCTCTGGAGCTCCTTTAAGCAGCGCTCTTTATCCCCTCTCCTCGCGCACCAGGAAACAAAGAGGGAAGAAAAAGTCTCTTGCCTCTTCGGCAGTTACAGACTTTTCCCCGGACTCCCTCCCGGCTAACCGTGGTGCACTAACCCCTTCAGGCTGTGTTCATGCTGCCAACCCCAGTCCTCTCCCTGTGCTCCGACTGAAGCCCAAGCCTCAGCTCCCAGCCCCGCCCTCCCCTGCACGTGAGCAGACAAGCCTCTGGTGAGTGAGTGCTGGTCGGCACTGATCCTCTGTGCAGGAATCTCTCCGCTTTGCCCTCCGCACCCCTGTTGCTGTGCTCTCCTCTGTGGCTCCGAAGCTTCCCCCCTATAGTTATAGTTTTTAAAAATGCTTTTATCTTTTAAATTCTACACCTGAATTTAAAGTGATTCATGCACCACCACTACAGTGTTACAGGATACTGTTTCTGTGTATTTACTTTTATCAGAGAGCTCTATATTTTCATTTGCTTTCATTTTGTTGTCTAGTGATCATTCATTTCAACTTAAAGGACTCCCTTTATCAATTCTTGTGTGGCAGGTATAGTGGTAATAAATGGTTTCAGGGTTTTTTTTGTTTGTTTGTTTTTGTGGTACTCGGCCTGTCACTGTCATGGACTCTCCCACTGCGGAGCACAGGCTCCGGACATGCAGGCTCAGCGGCCATGGCTCACGGGCCCAGCCGCTCCTCGGCATGTGGGATCTTCCTGGACTGGGGTACGAACCCATGTTCCCTGCATCGGCAGGCGGACTCTCAACCACTGTGCCACCAGGGAAGCCCTGGTTTCAGTTTTTGTTTATCTTGGAAGGTCTTTATTTCTCCTTTATTTTTGAAGTACAGTTTTCCAGATATAGTGTCCCATGGCTGGCTTTTCTTTTTTCTTTATGCACTTTAAATATATCATCCTTCTCCCTTCTAGCCTGTAATATTTCTGCTGAGAAATACAATGATAATCTCATGATAGTTTTCATACAGATAATGAGTAGCTTTTCTGTTGCTGCTTTTAAGATTGTTTCTTTGTCTTTGACAATTCAATTATTATGTGTCTCAGTATGGGCCTCTTTGGGTTCATCCTCATTAGAATATTCTGATACCTATCCAATGAATATGGAAGTCCATTTACCTCCTCAGATTTGAGAAGTTTTTAGCCAAGATTTCTTCAAATTAGTTCTCTGTCCCATTGTCTCTCTAGTCTTCTGGGACTTCCATAATGCTATACTGGTATGTTCAATGGTTTCCCATAAGTCCTTTAGGCATTAGCCACTTTTCTTCATTCTTTTTCCTTTTGTTCCTCTGACTCTGTGATTTCTTATTACCTATCTTCAAGTTTGCTGGTTCTTTCTTCTGATTAAATCTGCTGTTAATCCCTTCTAGTAAAATCTTCAATTCAGTTATTGTATTCTTCTCTTTAAGAGTTTCTTTCTGGTTCTTTTTAATAGTTTCTACCTCTTTGTTGATATTTTCATTTCATTCATACATCATTTTCCTGATTTCATTTAGTTGTCTACCTGTGTTCTCCTGTCATGCATTGAGCTTCTTTAAGACAGTAATTTTCAACTGCTTGTCAAGTAATTCACAGATATCAAATTGTTTAGGGTCAGTTTCTAGATAATTATCTTGTTCCTTTGATTGGGTTGTGTTTGTCTGTTTCTTCCTGCACCTTGTTAGTTTTTCTGTGAATTTAGCATTTGGAAAACAGCCACCTGTTACGGGACGGCTTTATACAGGGGAAGACCTTCTCCAAGCTCAAGATCCTTGGGGTCTCTCAAACTTCAATGGGGATGCATCTTCTCTGGGACTGTATGTGTAATTTCCCAATTAGAGAGGTTTGCTGGTTTCTTTTTCAGGAGCTTGCATCTCTTGCTCCTATTATCTGTCTTAGTTCTGCAAGTTTCTTAGCACTTCAATAAGCCACTGAGCTCTCTTTTGTTCTCTACAGCCCCCAGGCATCCAGGTTCCATCAGTACTCTGACTCAGGGGAGATAAAAACTAGTCTCTTTGGAAGTCCCCTGAAAAGCAGGAACATTGGATGTACAGTCTACTCCACTACTTCCCTCTCATGAGAGAAGATTCCTCCTGAACAAGAGCTGTGCCAATTTGGGGAAGAAGCTGATATAGTTGAAATAAAATGGCTGTTTTTACCCATTTCAGTGTGGCTACTCTTGGCTTTGAGCTCCCCTGGGGTACTATGATTTCCTAATTGGTTTCTAGAGTTTTCATAAAGGTTTTTGGACCATATATTGTTGCATCAGTGTGTCTGTGGGAGAACGAGGTCTGGGGCTACTTATTTTGACATCTTGCTGATGTCACTCTCCATTGATTCTTTTTTTTTTTTTGCGGTACGCAGGCCTCTCACTGTCGTGGCCTCTCCCGTTGCAGAGCACAGGCTCCGGATGCGCAGGCTCAGCGGCCGTGGCTCACGGGCCCAGCCGCTCCACGGCATGTGGGATCCTCCCAGAACGGGGCACGAACCCGTGTCCCCTGCATCGGCAGGCGGACTCTCAACCACTGCACCACCAGAGAAGCCCTCCATTGGTTCTTTTATAAAGTAGTTTTCTGTCCTTTTTCTCTAAACCTGATTATACTGTGGTATTTGAAGTGAGTGTATCGTTAATGGCATAGCGTTGGTTTATGTTTTTTAATCCACTCCGCTAATCAATGCATTTGAATTGATGTATTTAGACCATTTACATTTAAGCCTTAACACTTCCATGATTAATTAAGTCCGTCTTTTTTTTTTTCTTTTCTATTTTTCCCTCTTTTATTGTCACTGTTTTTTTCCCCCTGCTTTCCTGTAGGTTAACTGAATTATTTTAGTACATCCATTTTTATGTGTCAATAATGTTTTTCAGTGTATCTCTTAGCCCAAATCTTTTTACAGCGTTGCTTTAGGTACTGCATTGTAATATTCATTTAACTTGTCACAGTCTACTGGTGTTATCATACTACGATTTTAAGGGAAGTATAAAAACCTTACTTTTCTTTATACCAGTTTACCCTCACCCATTTATAATTACCTTAAATATTTTCTCTATACATATGTAGAACCACATCAAACAATTTAACCATAACATTTTCTTCAACCATCAAATATAATTTTAACAACTCAAGAGAAAGAAAGCCTATTGTATTAACCCATATTTTTGCTTACTGTGTTCTTCCTTCCTTCCTCATATTCCAAGGTTCCTTCTTTTATCATCTGCTTTCTGTTTAGAGACGTTCCTTTAGCCATTCTTGCAGAGTAGGTCTGATGTTGACATAGTCTTAGTTTCCCTCATCTTAGAATGTATTAATTTCTAATTAATTCCTGGAAGATATTTTTGCTGGGTATATTATTCTAGGTTGCCAGTTCTTTTCTTTCAGCACTTGAAAAAGATTCAGGTTTCCTCTGGCCTCCATGGTTTCTAATGGAAATATGCCATCATTCAAATTGGTTTTGCCCTGTTGGTGAGGTGTGATTTCTCTTTTGCTGTTTTCATATTTTTTCCCTTGGTGTTTAGTATTCAAAAGTTTGACTATGATGTGTCTTACTGTGAATTTCTTGTGGTTCACTCACCTTCTGCAATCTCTAGGTTCATGTCTTTTGCCAAATTTGGGAAGTTTTCAACCATTATTTCCTTATGAACTTTTTAAGCTCTGTTCTTTCCTCCTTCCTCACTGGACTTCCATTGACAAAAAAGAGGAGGGTATATGGCTCCTCATTACTGCTGGGCAGTGCTGGGAATTCTCTCCCCACATGATCTGTGTCACCACAGGCAGAGTTTCACTACCATTCAGCAGGGTTAAAAGTCCCAGCACCCTACTCAGCCTTAGCTCAGTGTCAGAAACTGACACCCCCTTCATGGGCAAATTGAGGCACCTTATTATGGCCTGATGAGGGTGAAAGTCCACGCTCTCCACTCACCCTTTGATGAAGTGGGTAGGGGTGGGGTCATAGTTTTTTTCTGTGTTGGTTAGCTATAATAGAAAGATTATTTTCTAAAAGTTTACTGTCTTTATAGGCTGCTCCTTTCCTCACCTTTTGGCTAGAGAGAGCTAGCTTTTGTTGGGCTTTTTAGGTTCGTGCCTGCAGCTCCAGGTTGCCAGCTTCTTCAGCTCCAATTCTGGGATATATGAGGCAAAAAGAAAAGCCAGGAAACTCACTTCCATGTCATTCCTTGAGTCTTCGGGGACCTATCCAGTCTGACTTCTCTCCATCTTTTCCAGTCATATTATAATAATATCCAGGGGTTTTAATTGTACTTAGTGGGAAGAATAGGGAAAAGTACATCTATTCCATACCCCATAAGCAGAACTCCTTATGATCTTTTACGTCTTATCTTTAACTGTTGCTATGTTTCCATTTTCATTCCTAATATTAGAACATGAAGTGGGTTGCTATAGGAAGTAACAACATTTCTGGTGCTATAAGTTTTGAAGTATACTTTAAATAGCCACTTGATGGAGATACAGAGCACTGATTCCTGGATTTAGATGGAATCAAGAGATATTGGTAAGGGCCTGTCTAAGGCTAATAATCTATGATTTCTACAGAAATTCTTCCTTGACTAATCTCTCATGATTTTTCTATCTCTGACTTTCTTCTGGTCTTATAATCTATACTTACTTATTTTTGTTATATGTCTATGTTTTCAATGATTTGATTTTATCTTCTATAAAGGTTATAATCTTTGGATAGAAGCTATGTCTTATATTTTAATTTAAACTGTCAGTATTCCTACAGCACAATTATGGGAAAGTGTGAAAATTCAATGAAATCTTTTTGATGATAAATTGACAAACTCATAAATCACATCCCACTTACCCAGTAATAATAATTTCTGGATATGTCTGTGTGCCAAGGTTCCAAGCTCCTCCACTGATTGGCCACTCCTAAACAGATTATGTGGGAAGAATTTATAAGTTTTTAAAATTTAAATAACTTAGAAATTTAAAATAAAAATATTTTTAAAATAACAGTAAAAGTTTCACTTAAAAATAAATAGCTGTTAAGTAATGAAGAATGAAATGTGTACCTATTTTTTAACTCCTTCATTGAACAAACAATTCCAAATGCAAAATTTCATATCCTTTAAAAATATAGATTTTAACAAATATTACCATTCATATTAAAAATGCAAAGAAGTATCTTTAATCATATAAATGTGGTGTTGCTACATTTTCCATGTAGTCTATGTACCTCCAAACTGTGGTGGTGCCATTTAACACAAAATACTATGTAAATTGTGCCCCCTGGAGTTGTCCATCTCAACAGTCCTGTTCAAATAACAGAAATCATAATAGGGGGGGTCTATTATAATTGTAAGTATTTGAATCCTGTAGTTAAATATAACAAAATGGAATTCTAGAAAGTTATTTAATGAAAGTCTTTGACAATTATGTCTTATTAACCATTGATTGATAAGAAATAACTAGAGAGAGTTGACTCTTGAATTTCTTAAAATGAATCCTTCACCTAAAATAATCAAAAGTAACATCTTATGATTCAAGCATATGTTAGTTTAAACATATATTTAGTATATAAATATATATGATAGGTAAGTATATCTTAGTAGATAATTGTATACTTTTTATACAAGAAATCTATATTCTTGTAGACTTAAAGCTATGTAGCATTTAGGAAATTTGAATTTCAGAAATTACGTCTTTTATAGGTGCCAGCTTATGACTTGAAAAGAATTTAGTTCAAGTCTTCTTCTATGGAAAGTCAGAAAATAACAGAAAAAAGTATGATCATATGATATGGATATGAATACAAGAAACTTTCTAATTGTTGCTTTTACCTTATTACTGTATCCTTGTTTTTTATGCTTGACTCCTATAGAGTAGAGCACTAGAATCAAATCTGGTGGGCAATCAGCAAAGTATGCTGTGCACGTAACTGGTGATTCATGAATGTCCATGGGATATGGATTTTCAAAGATTGGAAAGCTAATAGATAAAGATAATATATTAGTGTCATTTTGCACTGATATAAAAATGAAATAACTTTTATAAAACAAACCCTAAAATCTTCTAAATATTGATTATATTGAATATATTTCACATAATTGTTTTTTAAGCATCATAAAACAATGATCACCTGAACAAGAATTCTCTTTTAAAAATATATATCTATAAAATGTAATATGAATACTGGTAGAATTTTACTTGAATAAACTCATTTTCTTTCCAGTAATTTCAAAATTGCACAGTGATATTGCTTTCTAAAATGGATAGACTAAATTATTAAATTGAAAATATGTAGCAAGTTGACTTAACAGTTTATTAAAACATTATCAACTAGGTACTTTATCTACATACAATTTTATCTATATATTTATATAATACAAGTATTAAAATATCTTAGAAAATTTTACATGCTTTCCAAGGGACATAATACATAGGCAAGTATTTTGGTTTTGTATTTTTATAGGGAGTAACTGAAAGTTGTGTGTGCAATGTAGGTATGTGTGTGATTACACATGTTTAAGATTGTTTCCTATGTAAACTAGAAAACAGTGGGAATGCAGACCTATGTCTGTAGTAAATTTCATATCCTCAAGTCATATATCATTTTAAAAAGGGGTATCAGTAAGAACCAAATTAAGAATTCTTAGAACCACAATATATTGTACACTTCTCATGTACCAGATGTACCAGGTACTGTAGTAGATGGAATGGAGTATTATTCTATGCTGCATCTGTTCTCAGTCTGTGTGATCATGTTACTTCTGATACATCGTGCTTTTGGGGGGTGGGGAGGACTATTAAAAATAATTTTCCCCATATTATAGGAACTTAATCAGAAACTTAGTTCAAACACCAGAAAGAGTTTGGTGTGTGTGTGTGTGTGTCTATGTGTGTGTTGACAGGGGTTCTCTTCCTTCCAATCTTAATGGTTTCCCAGGTAAGAATAGTAGTATATGCAAAATCACATGGAAAGGAGAAAGTTGTGTTTAATAAGTGGCAAGTAGTTTAAACTGAATGGATCAGAGGTTCCCTGTTTCAGAGCAGAAATTATCAATATTTCTGATATTGAAGAATTAGAAGTAAAATAAGTGGATCACCTTAAAGATCAGATCTACAACTTGGGATTTGATAATAGCAAGAGATTACAATGATAGACTCCTGAGAAGATGAACAATATCATGAAAATGTTTGGGGAAAATAACTTTATTATATTGGCAAAGAGTAGAAAAATGACATTTAAGAAAGAAATAACTAAAAATGTATTACAAAAATTTACATGTGAAAGTGTGAACTGGTTGTTGTAGAAATGTAAACAAAGATGTAATCCAAGAGGAGGAAAAATTTTTAAGCCCTAATGCTTGCTTTCATGTAGAGGATTAACTGGAAAAGAAGGAAGGAAGGAATAAATTAATTTGAAAAAAGAGTACAAAGCTGCAATTTAATTGTTAACATTAAACATGGCTAAAAGTAACTATTTGGAGGGAAAGAGAACATGTTCAGTTTTTCCACATTAAACTTCTTGTAATAGACAACAAATCACAACAAATCACATAGATTTTAAAACATGGTGCTGAAGAAGGCAAAATATTAGATAAAAACGTGCAAACAAAATGTCAATTCACATACTTATATAAGGTAATGAAAAGCATAAGAATTAATGTATAAAAATAGTAACTTTTATGTTATATGTATTTTACCACAATAAAAAAGTTTTAAAAAGAATAAATGTATATGCTAAAGAATGTGAGTATTAAAGACAAAGTATAGTGGGCCTTGGAGGATGTTAGACAATTAGACAAGGTATGAGGAACCAACAAATATGGCACAGAAGCACATTAAACAATAGACAACAAATCACAACAAATCACATAGATTTTAAAACATGGTGCTGAAGAAGGCAAAATATTAGATAAAAACGTGCAAACAAAATGTCAATTCACATACTTATATAAGGTAATGAAAAGCATAAGAATTAATGTATAAAAATAGTAACTTTTATGTTATATGTATTTTACCACAATAAAAAAGTTTTAAAAAGAATAAATGTATATGCTAAAGAATGTGAGTATTAAAGACAAAGTATAGTGGGCCTTGGAGGATGTTAGACAATTAGACAAGGTATGAGGAACCAACAAATATGGCACAGAAGGAAGAGGTGACTACCAGTGAGATCAGAAAAGTATATTTTAATAAAACCTATATTAGAACTTAGAGAAAGAGGCATAAATCCACACTCGTACACAAAATTTAATCAGGTTTTATGTTGATAAATAGAGCAGCTAGGCAGAATTCAGTTATGGTGATATTATGGACCAACCCTATTCCCTTTCAAAATATTGAAATACTATGTGATGCAAATTATCACAAAGAAGAACTTTGGCTCTTACATTCACAAACTACACTGAGAGTAAAACTCAGACTGTACTTCATCCAACAAAAATTTATTAAGAACCTACTTCATGTGGAGACAAAGCCCGTCCTTCATGAGGCCTACAGTCTAGTAGGGAGACAATCTTTAAAACAATAACAAATGGAAACTTTCATCTGTGTCAAAGCTATGAAGGACAGGAACATGGATCTAAGACAGCCCTTAATAGGATATTTGACCAAATTATACAGATAATGAAAGATTTTCTTTAAATGAGAAAATGATATCTGAGTTGAGATTCTTACAGATGTTAATAAGGAGAAAAATGAATGGAAGATTATTCCATGCAGAGGAGAGAGAATGTACAAAAGCTCTGCAAATATAATGGGCTAAAAAATGATCAGTGAGTCTACAGCAAAGAATGAGGGAAAATGAGCTTCATGACTATCATCATTGATAATGAAAATATGTAACAGGAAGACAGTGTTCATCAGTTTCAAGTCTACTTTTACTGTCCATGTAAAGTAGTGGAGAGCACCACTCTAACAGCAATATTTTATATTTGTTTCTACTGCCCACAACATAATGAAAAAGAAAAGAAAGTAAAAGAAAGCATCTATCATCTCTTGCCTCGAGATCCTGATCTTCTGTATTGTCTGCCACATTAGTTCAATAATACTTTTATCATGTGCCATTTTCCTTTAGTCAATAGAGCAGATGGACAAACAGTACATTATATAATTTTTGTAACAATTGTTTTTTGCTTAGGGAAATAGCAGAAATGTGATCCATTTTATGTGTTTAGAGCCCCCAAAGGCATCTTTTTAAACATTAGGTGTTGCCTTTAAAATATCTTACAATATTCTCAGTGTCCCCTAAACTCTCCTGGTTTAGTTTTCATTATTGAACCAAATTACGTTTTTGTAATTCTAGCAAAACAATATTACACATAAAGAATATTTACCCTCTAAAGAATTCTAATGCCAATTATCTATAATGTCCTCCTATATTTTAATTGCAATAAATAGAGTTTAAAATAGTGTTAATCCGTACACGGAGAACTTACTTGCTTTGTGTCAGATCAACTACAATGAGATCTTTCTCCAGAAGTACAGCAACGGCATAGGGTTCTTGAAATTCTACAAGTAGAAAAGAAAAATGGAAAAGTTTTCATATTTAACATATTATAAAATCACCAAACTTGTATTTCCTTTATCTCCTGTATAAATGTTATTTAAATGATTTGAGAAGACCAAAGTACGAGCTAAAATAAGAAGTAACAAAGAGCACTTTTTAAAAATATATGTTGTCCACTGTAAAGCAATTATACTCCAATAAAGATGTTTTAAAAAAAAAGAGAAAAAGAAAAACGTGGGACTCAAAAAAATATATATATATATGTTGTGTTTCTCAAACAATGTTTAAGATCATTATAGGAAACAAGGAAAAAATGAGAAGTTGCATAGCATAGAGTTAAATATATCTCAATAATCATGATAGTAGTAGATTATTTGAAGAGAGTGAGTCTGTCACCTCCATCTCACATTTATCTTAGTCTTCCCTAACCTTCCATTTCAGGTCTGATTTCATGCCTACAGGAGATATACTAAGGAAATAGTTCTGCTTCTCTCAGTTGTGATACATATTCACCTCCCTATTAGAGCAACACTCCTTATACTAAAAAAATTACTTTCAATTCAATGTGATTTAACAGGTACTTAAAGACTTCCTACTATGTGCCCAAGAGTATATATCTCAAAAAATCAGAGTCTGAGGATAGCCTAGGATTTTCAAGTTCTTAAAATTCGACCCTTCCTTTCTCCCTTTCTCCATCCTCCCTTCCTTCCTTCAATATGTTTCAGAAACTGTCTTAAGAACAAAGGATATATGGGGAATAAGAATGACAAGGTCTTTGTTCTAATAAAGTTTACAATCTAGGGATACATACAAACAATGAACAAGTAAACAAATAAGATTAATTCAGAAAGTAAAGTGAACTATGAAAAAAATAACAAGGGTAATAGTATAAGAAATGACTTCTGGTTGGTGGGGGAGCACTAATTTAGTTATAGTGTTCAAGGAAGACATTGCTTTCCATCTGTAATAAAGGCCTAATAAAGGAAAGCCACAGTTACAGTGTTAGCTCAGTTTTAGGAAAAAATTATTTACAAAAACATTTTACATACATGGTATTTGATTCTCAGTAGCTAGAGCATGTATCATCATTTTTTCATTTCATAGAGAAAACTGGAGTCCGAAGAGGTTATGAGATCGGCACAAGGTTACAAATCTAGTAAGTTATAGTCCTGAAACTTTAATGCATGCTGTTTTCATTATACCAGCAGTTTCTACTGGCTAGTTTAAGAGGTATTTAATCCTAAACTCAACAATCACTTGGCAGGAATTTTGTATTCAAGAATATTCAAGTCTTGAGTGGTAAATTAAAATAGATGGCCTTCACAGTCCTTCCAGTCCTGAGAAGCTACAGAACCTATTCATATTTATTTTTTAAGTCACAAGCTATGAGAGAAAAACTAGAATCAAAAAAACATAAAAAAACAAAAACTGAGGAGCCTGACCTTGTTTGGGTGCATATTTATACAACAGTATACAGTCCTCAAACTATTTGCTACTCAAACTTTTTCAAACTGAGGCATTTCCCCTCTTCTCCCTTATCTCTTAGAGCTGTTTTAAGTTTTCAACATTATTTAAAAAACGTTTCGGGGTTTGGGGATTTTTTTTGTCTGTTTTTCAGTTTGAAGAATACTACTAGTTTCCTCTTTGTCTTCTCATCCCTCTCTAGGAAAATCACTGGTTGGGAAGCAATGGCTACAAAAATAAAACAGCTGAGACATTGGCATGAATGAGCAAAAGTCTTAAATAAATTTTTATTTTAGGTAATTACACCTGTTTTAGATTATTGTTTCTTTTCAAATAATAAAAACTGGTAGCAAAAGTTTCACGTTTGTAGAAGTACTCGGGGTGCTGTGGTAACCACTGAATAAAAAGATTTCTTTTGGAGTCAGTGTTAGGTTCAATTTGTGTCTATTATTTATTAACAGTTTGATCCTAGGCAAATTAGTTAACTTCTTTGATTTTCAATTTCTCTACTCATTGAAATGGCAAAATAATACTACCTTAGACTGTTAATAAAGATTAGATGTATATAAAGATGCTTGATGCAAAGGCTGGCTTAGAGTAAGTACTCAATAGATGCCAGCTGTATTACTTTTTTTATTAGATTGGTTGTTTTTGAGCAGGCTCAGCCTTTTAACCCTAGCCCCCAACAAGATGGAAAAGCTCTATCATAAATACTACTTCTCTGAAGAGAAATGCATTATTTATGACACTTGTAGAAGACCAGATACAGTTAAATATAGATGCAAAACTGACAAATTCAGAGTATAGTTGGTTAGTTACTCTGGGCAATGCCCCCTGAGATAAGAGGATTAGGCATTTGTGTTCTTTGAGAAATAGGTTGAATTGTCAGATGTCACAAATGTTTCAGCAATATTAAAAATTGTTAATAAGTGTATTTTGTTTAACATATGCATAATACATCATTATGTAGCTATAATGGAGATTAAAGTTCCATATTTACTAACATGGAATCATAATCAAAATACTGTATACTGTTAAATGAAAAAAGTGTGATACAGAGCAACATATAGAGTATGCTGTCATTTGTATAAAAAAGATAATGCATATACGCATACATTATTTGGGGGAGAATACATAAGAAACTAAGTAATAGTGGTTGCCCCTGGAAGAGCAGTGAGAAAGTTTTCACTATATACTGTTGTGTATTGTAGGGTTCTTTTCTGGCATTTTCATGTACTATTGTTTTAATCAGAAATAGTTAATAAAATACACTTATATTTTACTGAGTAAAGTTAAACTATTTCTCCCAGCTCCTAGTAAGTAAAAAGTTCCATCCTCATTACCACTTCTCTGAAAAGCAAAGTAATATATGTGGCTTGGAAGTGATTAGGCTTGGTTACAGTACCCTTATAATTTGTTTAACATTATTAGAAACTGTCCTAACATCTCTACTGATGTGCACAAATGTATATACACATATACCTATAGTGTTTGATCTTGGCAACCACACATTTTCAGTTTCTATTACTGGTATGCACACCTTTTTTCTTGAGGCTCTTTAGTAAAAGGCATTTTCCTAAGCTCAGCTTTTGGTCCTCTGTTCTTTCTTTCTTTCTTTGTTCCTTTATCAATCATTCTCACAACTCCAAAGAGCATCTATATTCTGATGACTCAAAAATAAATATTAAAGACCTTTTCCCTCTCTTTTTCTGCTCTCTAAACAACTCTACTAACTCAAACTTATTTTTCTCTCTTTCCAAGAACTGTTATTACTGCATATGAAACCACTATTCCTAAAATGTTGTCTTTGACTCATCTCTCATATCACTCCCTAATCCAGTTGTTGGCCAAATTCAATGGGTTTTCATCTTCCATTCCTACAAGCAGCACTCTGTTTCAGATCTTGACCATTTTAATGTACATTACCACAAAAGCCTCCCAGTTGGAATCTGAAGTTTTAGATTTCAGGGTCTCTCTCTTCAAATCCACACACTAAAACATTGCTTTCTTTCACTTAATATTTCCTCAAAATTCCTCTGTAGTTCCCTATTTCCAAATACTTACAAAAGGCTTTCAGATTTTTCTCTGAATTTATCTCACTCTAGCAAAACCTCACAATTTCTAAAACCTTTACTCAATATTATTTTCAAGGCCCAAGTCATTCTTCAAGCCCTATCTAAATCCTACTTTTTCCATGAAGCTTTGCATGAATATTTCAGTCATCGACTACCTGACTAGCCTATAAATTGGTACATTATTTAAACTCTGATTCGTATAACTCAGCGCTTAATTAAGCTGTTATATTTTTTAACTTAAGTCATAATTATCTTCCTCATGTGGCCAGATTTTCTGATTTGACATCAGAGATCAGTTTCATACTTCATCCATACTCTCAACAAGTTCTTGTCATACTGAGGCCATAGAAGCATCCAATAAATATTTGTTGGTTAATTTACAACACAAGTAATTTGTCTGCCCCTGGCAACTCTGGGAATAAAGTGCCACATTGATTGTTATTTTATATCACTTTATTTCACTTTTTAAATATGAAACTCAATAATTTAAAACAAATTAATACATTTATAATAAAACTAATAGCTATTTATCTTCATAGTTTATAAGGTATATTCCCTTTGGTCTTCCAGTAATCATGTGGGATCAATATTATATTCTTTCTTCAAATGATTAATCAAACTTGTAAATATGAAGTGACTTGTCCAAGGTCACATAGCTAGTAAGTGACAGAGCTAAATCATAAGCCCAAATACTCTGTCTCCAAGTACAGTGTTCCTTTCTTGTAATCATAAACTCATATTTCCCTTTTTATATTTCACCCTTCTCAATTTTTAGATTTCATTATTAAAATATTTCATCATTAGATTCCATTATACAGTTTGCATATAAGTTTAGACTGGTTTTTTATGTTTACAAAGTCTTTATATTTGGGATGATAAAAATACATAAGCACCTCTCCTCCCAAAGGCTCTTCTAATTATTTTCAAAATTGGAATAAATCACTAACCATACATCAGCAATCCTAGAGTAATCACAGGTGCTGCAGTTGCATCTGAAGCAAAGCCAGATGTGAAACAGATGCAGCACCACCAGAGTTACAGATCACTGATATCAGGTAAGTGCTTTAACTTTGATTGGCACAGGATTGGGATGGGTGGAGCTGGCCTAGGAAAGGCTATTAGGAGACCTCAGTTTCTCCAAGTGATTTCACCCCGGACCCTGAGCGGACCCTCCCAGCTCAGCTTCCACCATCCTTATCAAAGTTTAAAGCACTTACCTGATATTAGAACCTGAAACTCCAGCACTGTTGCACTACATCTGTCTTACTTCCATTTTCTCAAGTAGGTACAGCTGCAGAACCTGCTCCAGCACCTGTAGCTCACAGTGTTGTATCAGAGTCGATATCAGCTGCTAAAACTAAAAATATTTAAGCTTAATTTTGTTAGGAACTTATCATTTCAAAAATGATTTTTCAACATCAATAGTTTCATTTTAGTTACTTACCATTTGGATAGGGTGTTTCACATAAAGTTAGAAATTCAACAATAGGATGATCCATTTCAAGCACTGTAATTGCTTTTCCATGCATGATGGTTAAACTTGGTCTTCTGCAAGCTTTGTCATAGGACAGTCCACCAGAAAATATTATGAATGGTTCACTACAGAGGAAAAAAAGTTAATGAGACTGAGTTCCTAAGATGACACAATCTCACAGTATTGAGGCAAAAAGGAATGGGCTTAGTAGGTATTATATACGATAATTTGACAGAGAGCAAAAGACTTTCCTGGCCCCAAATATCTCAGCCAACAATTTACTATTCTACCATTTCCTTTTTTCTGGATGTATATTCTCACCATTAAAATTACTAACGAATCAATCTAAAGATGTTGAGGTGAGATCGGGGAAAGGCAGTGAGGTTGGTGAGAGGGGAAGATGCTGACTGACTCAACAGGACATCTTCACATATATTAGTTGGTTACCAAACTCTAAATTACTACTATTAGAATATTAGGCTATGTTACTTTATCATATTAACCAGTAGGCATGTGGGACCCCAAATCACTAAGAAATAGAGGAAAATTTCAACGTGAAATGAAATGTTACAGTGGCAAGCCCAGAATGGTAGAAGGTAACATGAAAAGTCTACATAATAGAGTTTCTGTGGGAAAGGGTTATGACAAACAGATGGAGAAAACTAATATGTAATGGGAAAATGATTCACCAAAAGTAAATGTGACCTTCTTCTCAACTTTACCTAGGGTCAGCCAGTTCTATTTAGCTTGTAAAACTAACTTCGAACAAATTTTTTCATTTCTGTTAACTGCAAGTTACAGTTAGATAATAGAGTGGGGCTGAAATGACCATAAAATATCATAGCTGTCAGAAAGTTATGAAATAGCTTCAAAAGTTTTCATTTTCCTTTTCTCAAATATCTGTATCTCTAGTATATGTATATAAAAGAAAATGTGTGTTGATATGAAGTATTTTTCAATAAGACCAAACTGAAAATATTCTCCAAAATTTTTTTAAAGGAACTAGACACTTTTATTGTACCAAATTCCTTGAGAACATGTTTCTCTAAATAATTCACTTCTATCCATCTACTAAACTGAAGAATCTACTTGTTTTTAGAACTCACTCCATAAAATTTCCCTTTCTTTTCCATTTTGTATCGTACATAATACTAAACATTATCAAAGGGACATTTGCTAATCTTATGCTGGCTATGTAATAACAACAAAAAACCCTTTTAAAAAGTTTCCATCAAAACCTACATATAAAATGCCTTCACTACATTTTACTTAAAGTTCTGTCTTAATATTTTCATATAAATATTTGAGTTGTAAGCTAAAAAAGGGAAAATGCTCTAATTTATTTTCCTTGAGTCTTGCATCAATTTACTTGAGTTAGTTTTGCCCCAGTAATTAGACATATTAATTAGCACCAACCTACTAATGGTGGTATTAAGAAGCAAGTTTGTTTTTTCTATGAAATACATAGTATTCAGATTATTTAGAATACATCTCCAGATTTAAAAATCATTTTTAATGAAATGAGTGTGGGTTTTTGCACCTCTGCTGCTTTGTTTTGCAACAAAGTTCATGACTTGGAGAGCATAATATCTTTTCATAAATATTGAGCTTAACAATCTGCTCCAAATATTAATAAAGGGCATAAATATCTATTTTGCCCATGTAAAAATGGGTGAATTTACTCTCATCTCCTAGTACTAATCTAAACATAGGATAAGAAGCAATTTACTCTCCCTTATTTGTAAGTACATTGGAAAATGTCTTTTCTAGTATTCAAAGGAGGCACAATCTTTTCTGCTCTTATTATGACTTTGCATCACAAAACCATGGGTCTGAAGTAATTGTTGGTTTACATGCACTTTTCTGTAAATTACTGAATGATTGAATAAAAAGCTATTTCCTCAAGAAAATGCTCAGGGAACCACTCATGGATAATTGCATTAGATATTTAATTATCACATTAAATCCTCAGAAGTACTGTTCTCATTTTATTAATGAGGTTAAATAACAATTAAGCAGAAAAACCCAAAAGAAAACTGAGATCTATCAGCCTTCAAAGCCTGTTCTCCTTAATTGTGGTCTATACTGCCTGAAGTAATAAATAGCTACAATTTACTGAATGTTTATCATGTGGCATATATTGTGCTGTGTATATATAAAGTAAGTTTTACGTAATCCTCACAATCTTGTAATCCTCAATCCTGATGAGAAAAGTACTATTAGCTCAATTTCATAGATAAGGAGTCTGGGCTTAATACAGGTTAAATAACTTGTTCAGGGTCAAGCAGCTAGTGAGTGTTTTTCATTTCTAGTCTAATAGTTCTCAAACTGTGGAATACATCTTAATAGGTGTTCTACAAAAATAAATAAGTAAGTAGATAAATAAATAATTTGACAAACACTTGCAAAGTATATATACCTCCCTTCTGAAATTTTATAATTCATGCCATATATTAAATATTCTGAAAAATTGTAAAGAATCCAGTTTGTTTAAATAACCCAGAACTTTTCATATTTCTCAAATTTATTTGATTACAGATTCCTTTTTCTCCATGAATACAATTAGTAATTAAAGGGATACAATTTGGTAAATGCTATACCACATGAAACTGCCTGCTTTACTAATTAATACAAGTGTGTCTTGAGAGATTTATCAGATGGATTAAGAAATAACCATATAATTGATAATGTCTTCATACATAAAGAAAACATTAATAACAAATATTATTGATAACAACTTAGATAAATCTCAAAGGCATTATGTTGAGGAAAAGAAGCTAGGATCAAAGGTTACATAATATGTAATTACACTTATATGACATCTCAAAAAGGAAAAACTATAGTGACAGAGTACAGACCACTGGTTGCCAGGGGTTAGGTGTGGGGAAAGGTGTGACTGTAAGGGGATAGTATGAGAGAATTTAGTGGATATGGAAATTTTCTGTATTCTTATTGTGGTGTCAATTTCAGGAATCTACACATGTGTTACAAATCCACAGAACTGTACACCAAAAGAAAGAAGTCTACTTTACTGTATAATTTGTAAAATAGATAAAATATAATAAAAAGCACTGAGCCTTATTGTCTCAATGAAAGTAACAGGATTAAATAATAAATTGTGTAACATAATGTAATACATGTTAAAATAACATTTGTTGAGTATTATGATGTGCCAGGTATTGTGTGAAGAACTTTACATGCATTATTGTATTTAATCCTCCCAATGAGAGAACTACTACTATTATTCCCACTTTATTGATGGGTATACTAAAGCTTGGAGAACGTAACTACCCATGAAGTCTTATCTGTAGGTGACCACAACATGAAGGGATTACAAAACTAGCAGAAGGTTATTTTTATTAACTACAGAGAACCTGATAATGCTAGTGATAGCAAGTAAAGAGATCATTATTCTTTTTTTTTTAAAGGATAAAATTATTAAGCCTTGAGGCCATTGTAATTGGAGTCTCAGTAAGCAAACTGATGACTGAGGACCAATGATTCCTGAGCAGAATGGTTGTTCATCCCTAGAAATGTAAAGCAAGTTTGTGAATGGCTAGTTTAAGAAAAAATTAAACAGAAAACATACCCTTTACATCTGTTACCTATGCAGCATAGGTAAGGCTGCAGCATATATGGTAAGGCTCTTCTTAAAGTTCCTGCTCGTGCTACAGCCATCCCAAATTTTGACTTCACAAAATATTTGCTGTATACTAGATGGAACGGAAATATAGCTATCTATTTCCACTTCCAGACTATGGCCCATTTTGCTGTGGCAACACCTTTCAGGACTCAACTTCAGTGCCCCTCTGTTTTTGTAGTCTCCTTGTGTTCTGAGCTGTGGGTCCACTGCTTCTAGAAGAGGCTTTTCTAATACAGTTGTAATCACAACAAATTGACACAATGTACTACAGTGCATAGTAAGGGGGATGACAGCAATTATGATTAGTAATACATAATTATTTCACATTAGAAATCTGAAGAATTACTTCTACACAAAGTTGAGCTACCAAATACTAGAACTAAGCAATTTAGAATCAATTGAAAAATATTAACAGTGTGAAATAACATGGCTTTGATGATGACAGTAATAACTTTTTTTTATTAAGAAATCCACTATGTGCCTCTCATCAAATTTATGATGTTACAAACTTTATGCATAATTCAATTTAATCCTCACAATCATCACAGTGAGATAGGTATTGTTGATGAGAAAATTAAATTTTAAAAGAGTTAATTAAAATTTTCAAGGTCACACAGCTGTCTTACTCCATAAGCCAATGATCTTTTTTTAAATATATATCTTTATTGGAGTATAATTGCTTTACAATGTTGTGTTAGTTTCTGCTGTACAACAAAGTGAAACAACTATATGTATATATATATATCCCCATATACCCTCCCTCTTAAGCTTCCCTCCCACCCTTCCCATCCCACCCCTCTAAGTCGTCACAAAGCATCAAGCTATCTCCCTGTGCTATGCAGCAGCTTCCCACTAGCCTTCCATTTTACATTTGGTAGTGTATATATGTCAGTGCTACTCTCTCACTTCGTTCCAGCTTCCCCTTTCCCTGCTGTGTCCTCAAGTCCATTCTCTACATCTGCATCTTTATTCCTGAGCTGCCACTAGGTTCATTGGTACCATTTTTTTAGATTCCATATATGTGCGTTAGCATATGGTATTTGTTTTTCTCTTTCTGACTTACTTCACTCTGTATGCCAGGCTCTAGGTCCATCCACCCCATTACAAATAACTCAATTTCATTCCTTTTTATGGCTGAGTAATATTCCATTGTATTTATGTGCCATATCTTCTTTATCCATTCATCTGTCAGTGGACATTTAGGTTGCTTCCATGTCCTGGCTATTGTAAATAGTGCCACAATGATCTTAATCATTATTTTAAACTGCCTTGCCTTGAATTCTTGATTTCTGAAGTACATTTTCTTCATGTTTACCCTTTTCTCCCTTCATCTGGCACCATCCTATCTTCCATCCCTTAAATCCCATTTCAGGCATCTCCTTTCCTAAGAAGAATTTCAGTGATTTCTCTCTTCACTCCCTTTAGGCAAGGTTAGCTGTCCTTTTGCTGTGCTCTCATAGCATGTCTCTATAAAAGCACCTCACATGTTGTATAGAAACCATGAGTTTATGGGCTTACTTCTGGTACTAGACCATAACAGATTCAAAAGCAGGCAGTAATTTCTATTTTAGTGTGCCAAACAAATTGCTCAATGCACATTATGCAGTAATAACAATACATTTTGTCTTAATTGAATTAAGCTACATATTGTTGAGCACCTCATAAAAATACGTTTATATATAACAAAATACATGTTATAAAGTCCATGGATCATGTACTTTATCAGGGAAAAACCTCTCACGCCTTCATATGAACCTCTTTATTCTCATTTTACAAACTAGGGTTTCAAATCTCTTAGTCTATAGCAAATAAAAGACTAGATACTAGCGGATTAACACAATGGAAATTAGAAGTCCCAAAAGCCCAAAACTGAAGGATAGAGGAAAACTTTCAAAAAAAAATACATACATGAAAAGAAAAAAAAAAAAAAAGAAACCACAAGCTGCTAGGAACAGTTAATAAGTGTGAAGTGCTCAACTGCTTCAATAGTCCTTTAAGTGCGACACTATATAACAATGGATGTAAATAACATTGAGCCTGAAGACTCAAGCAAAGTTTAAGTTATAAACACTGTTTTAAGAAGGAAAAGAATATATGTAAAATATTTTCATCCATAATGATTAAATTTTAAGTGTTTTAATACTTTAGTTACAATAGTAATAAAACCATGATCATTTTTACTAGTTATACATAGTAACATTAGGCTGGACTAAAGAGGTATTGATCCATCTATCTACTATACCTTGAGAAGAGCAGCTATAAGCAAACATTAAATGCACCTATGACAACAGGAAAATATTCTAGTGTGAACATTTAAGTAATATAAAGTAGAATTATCCAATTTAGACTTAAAATAAAACTAAGGTCGAGGCAAGATTTGTAATTATGGTAATTCTGGATGAGAGTATTGCCACTAATAATTACTGTAAGTATAAACACTGCTGATGCATAGGATATGGCTGCTGTATATACAAGATAAATTTCTATTAAATATTATTTTTTATTTAATTTTCTGTATCTTAAAATTTAGCACTATTGTATTATGGTAATATACATAAATGTTTACCTTTACAACTAATTATAATCTTTCCAACTTCAGAATGTAAGATCCTAAAGTACAGAGACTTGGTTATGTATTTAATTCATGTGTAATACCAACAGGTACATAGCTTCTGCTGTTTAATAATGTTGAATGACTGCTGCTTGTAATTGCATGGCCCAAAACCCCTACATTGTTAAAATTAATGTATATAATAGTCATCTGAATATTCATGTAAATTTTAAAATAATTGATTTGCTATTTATAATAACATTGACATAATAAATTTGCCAGTTGAACAATAAGAAATCTGTTATTATCAATGAAGAAGATTCAGCCAGTTAATATAATTATGTAAAACTTTAAACAATATATAAACATTAAAGGTTATCTGAATTTCTTGTCTCTGTTTCTTACATATTTTCCCATAACTCTCAAAGTAAAAATGCATACCTGTTTCTACAGGTTTTGTATTCTACTTTAAGAATTGGTTTGCAAGATTCAGATTTTCTTCCTTCTCTTTGAGTTTTTCCTAAAGAAAGAAAAAGGACTTTATTAAATATGATTTAAATTCTACTAACCCATGAGAATTTTAAAAGCTTATTAAAGGAATATTTTTAAATGTAATTATGTGTTTTTCATAATACAATAAACACATTTCTATGCATCCTAACATATTTGTTAAATTTATAAACAGTTTGTTGAACTCTAATAATTGTTATATAAACAATAAAGTTATTTGTAAACATATTTGTATTGCTTCACATTCTCCATGTATAAATATAGTATCATATAAAGTTTAATTATTTAAGTTTCAAGATAAACAACTTCAGAATTGAAGACATACACATACATACTTATCTGCATAATGAAATGTATAAAGAAAATCCATACTAGGTTGAAAATTTTACCTATAAAACAAGCAAATCCCTTTCTTATGCAGAAAGATTTGCCATTTAAAACTTATGAAAATCTTTGCATTTTCATCAAATTTATTTAAAGGAAAGTCCATTAGACAATGAACACTGATGGTATATTTCATGATTTTTAAAAATTTTAATGATGTCCTCTATTTGCATAGAACAAAAATAATAGTTTCTTATAAGGGAAGGATTATGTTGTTTAGACTCCATAAGAGTCTGAATGAAAGATCAAGAAGAGTTGAAAATGGAAATAAAGCTACTTCTGCCTATAACATACTTATCTTTCTAGTTATGATTTTACTTATAATTCTATATCTCATTTTGATAAAATTCATCTGTTTTTCAAGATATGTTTGTTTGTTATTTTAATAAGTACCCTATTTATTCTTGTATTGCCACAGCTGTTTATAGACACAGAAACCTATTATGTAGATAGATGTTTACATGCATATAAGTTAAAATTTTAGAATAGCTTCAGAATGGCAAAGCCAAATCCAACTAGGATGTCAGGACAATTTTATCCAATTTGCTTAATGGGCTATTAGCACAGAATACACCTTATCTGCTCCATGGCATGCTTTCTGAAATTGCCTTCTCTTTCTTTTATGTCAACTAAAGAGGCAACCCAATAATAAAATATTGGTCAATATCATTCACATTGTAAAACAGGATTAAAAGTATCTATATTATATGTGAAAAAGAATTGCTGACATTAAATATATTATATATGAAAAAGAATTGCTGATATTAAATATAGATCATTACAAAGAGACAACTTTGGCTCAGACTCACTCTGAACAGTGGTCTTAGAGGTGAGGAACATCTGGTTGGTGATTACTAGTTTTGATAATGAATGGAAATAGAGAGAACTGAAGGAAGTGACAGAGTTAGGAAAGAGATCCATTCTTCTCAGTTGATGTTTTTTCTATCCAGAGCTTCTCTAATAATTGCCAAGCCATTAGTTGACCAAAACAGTATATTTGCAGCTGTTTATATATATGGGACCAACTACTATTTTTCAATAAATAAACATCACTATCATGCACTGATTTTAGTAGAAAAGAATAATTAATTAATTGTTTTACTTCAATTTCCAACTCTAATAATTAATTTGGGGGTAAAGCCTTTCTGTTTTGATTATATTCATTGCCTGTCAGTAATTGAAATATGCTTAAATGTCATGTTGCATAAAACATTATCAACAACTGCATTTATTGCTTTTCCTTATGTTCAGAGTACTGTATTAAGTGGGAAGATGCCAAGAAATAACTACCAAAAAGCTTAAAATTTACTAAACTGAACAAAACAATTTTTGAAAATGACAACACAAGGTACCATAAACAAGTGATAGACATGAAGTGTAGGAGTTGAGAATAAAACTGTGGCTTCCTTTTACAATAGAAGACTTACCTAGATTTTCACAGAAGACTTCCTAGAAGCTAGATTAAACGTTAAAAGATAGAAGTTGGCTAGGAGAGCATAAGAAAAGACATGAAGGCAGAATGTGTCTAGTATGTTGAGAGAATAATGGATAAGCCAAATTGGGCAGATTAAAAGATTAATGTAGAAGAGTGCAAAAAGGCTGATGAGGTACAAAAGAGCCATACAATGGCAATCTATAAAACTGATTTACAGTATAGACAAGGGAGAGTCACTGGAAGCTTTCAAGTTGGGAAATAATATGTGTAAAGCAATGCCTCAGAAATATTAATATGGATTTATTTAATAAAGAAATTTTGAGGATGTAAGATACTGATAATGGAAAACAAGGAGAAGATAATCACAACTGTGCAGGAAAAACTGAAGAAAAGTGAACAGTCTCAAAGAAAAGTGGGATACTATTAATCACATCAACATGTGCATCTTGAGAGTACTGGAAGGAAAGGAGAGAAAGGAGGAGAAAAACACTCAGAAATATTGGTTGAAAATGTTGTAAATTTTTTGAAAAGCATTATTTATACATCTAAGAACCTCAATAAACTCCATGTAGGATAAAATCAAAGAAATCTACTCCTAGACACATGAAGATAAAAATGCTAAAAGCAAAAAAATAATATTGAAAGCAGCAAGAGGAAAATGATTCATTGTATACAAGGGAGCCCCAATAAGATTAATAGCTGACTTTCTTACCAAAGACAATGAAGCCAAAAGGTAGTGGAATGACATACTTAATGTACTGGAAAAAAACAACAACCCTGTTAACCAAGAATCAAAGTTCATCAAAATTATCTTTCAAAAATGGAGGTGAAATAAAGATGTTTCCAGATAACAAAAACTGACAAAATGTGTTGCTAGCAGAGCTCCCTTTCAAAAAATACTTAAGTTCTTCAGGCTGAAAGAGAGTAATATGAATCTACACACACAAAAAAAGATTACAAGGAAAAGTAATTAACGTAGATAATTATAAAAGTATAATTGCATATTTCCTCTCCACTCTTAACTGGTTAAAAAAACAATGTAAAAAGTAATATGTATATAATTGTAATATGGGATACATAATATATTTGAAAATAATAACACAAAGAAGGTGTATGGGAACAAGGTTACACTGGAGGAAGAAAATGACACCAAATGGCAACCTGAGTCCACAAGAACAAAGGAAGAGAACCACAAATCAGAAGCAAAAAGGCTAATGTCACAAATTTTATACATATATATGTGTTTGTATATATATATATATATATATATATATACACACACACACACACACATACATATATATATATATAAAATATATACCCTTGACTAAATAACAAATGGGTGAAAGAAAAAAACCAAGAATATTGTAGAACAGTGTATGCTACGCCATTCATACAATGAACAGTGTTCACAACATTGTTCAACAATTGTAGAACAATATATAATACAACACATCAAAACTTCTGAGATGAAGCCTAAGCAGAGCAGAGAAGGAAATTTATACCTATGAGCAGCTATATTAAAAAAGAATATATGAAATCACTAACCTAACCATTCACCTTAAGTCACAGAATAAAAGAACAACCTGAACCTGAAGCAACAAGAAAGAAGGAGATAATAAAGATTTGAGCAGAAATTAATGACATAGAAAAGAGAAAAATATAGAAAATCAGTTAAACTAAAATTGATTCTCTAAAGAGATCAAGAATATTGACAATGCTTTAGCTAAACTGACCAGAAAAGAGACAGACAGACAGAGATAAAAGACTTACACACACACAAAAGATGGAACATAATTACTTATTTCAGCCTGAAGGGGCTGGAGTGTGCCCTAGGCTGCAACTGGGGGTATGCAGGACAGAGCCTGAGTCTGCCATTGAAGGCCCATTGTTAGTGTGTGCAAGAAGGGAAGGGTGGGGCCCCACCAAAACATGCTTGCAGTGGGCACAGCTCTGCCTCTGTGAGCTCTGGGAGTACACAAGCACCATGGGCTGTCCACACTCAGAGGCAAGGCTGATATCTGTGCTGATCCCCAGGAACCGCACAACTTTGGAAGCAGGGCTGAAATTTGAGCAGTGTCCTGGTGGCTTTTGAGGTTTTATGCCATCATCTCCTTTGTAAGCTCAGTGCCTACGGAACATTCGAGCAGACTACTGGTACTCCCGTGGCTGGGTGGATCCAGCATTAGCAGCTGCCAGAACACGCAGAGGCAGGGTCGAGGTGTGGGTTGACTCCATACGTCTCGGCTGGTCCCAGTGCCTGATTTCAGTGGATCTGTGCCAGCATATCTATGCTGGTGGACTGGTGAGCACAGCGCCTGAGGGACATCTGGGCTGATTGCTTGCATTCTCAAGGCTGAGGCAGGGCCAAGGGCAGTGCCAACAACAGTATACTTTGTGAGCCCACACAACAGGTAATGGGCTAGACCACAGAGCGTACTTCCCAATAGACAGCTCCTGTGGAGGAACACTCAGTGGCTCTTCTTCCAGTGGAAGTGTTTCAGTCCCACCTACCTCACACCACAGCCTAGAAACAGATCAGGGAGCTTCTACTCCAACAGTTGGGGAACAGACCCTACCCCCAACAGGGCTGTGTAAACCACAGAGCAAAACGGAGGCCCTGCTCAACATCCAGTGCAGGCTCTGATCACCACAATACCAGCCACACCCCACATCAAGAGGATAACAGGCAGCACACACTGAGGAAAGCCAAGGAAGGCATCCATACTAAAAACAGCCCTCTAACCCAAAATATTAGACTCACACAGGCTACACAGGGATGGTCCCACATAAAAACAGCCCTTCAAGACCACAGTAGATAACTGTTTCTCCTAAATTTGTAGAGTCACAGAAATATAAAATGAAGAATCAGAGGAACCACTTCCAATTAAAAGAACAAGAGAAATCCCCTGAATGAAAAAACAATTAAACAGATCTCTCCAGTCTACGAGATCCTGAGTTCAAAAAGGATGTAATAAAAATACTGAAGGAATTAAGAAAGGCTATTAATAGAAATGCAGACCACTGTAACAAGGAACTAGAAAATATAAAGAGGAGCCAATTAAAATTAGAAAACGAATTTGCTGAGCTAAAGCAATAAATACCAAACTACATAATTCAGAAGAATGAATAAGTGATCTGGAAGATTAGAATGGAAATCATCCAGTCAGAACAACAGACAGAAAGACAAA